TCCAAAAAATCGAAAAAAAAAACAATGTTATGGAGAAAAATAAACTAAACAACATTTGCCTGGGCACTACATCCAAATTCTTTACCAAATTTCAATTATAAATCAAATACAGAAAATAAACACTAGATAAAAATAAGAAAAAATAAAAAGAGAATTAAAATGAGTGAGTGTGCCACCACCTTTTCGACACCGTCATCTTTGCCGATTTTTAACTATTTTTTGGCATTGACAAATGCCCCGAAAATTTACAGATATGTAGTTTACATAATCAATAACTCATTAAAAAGTTTTACAAAAAATAATAATTTTTTTTAGGCCCCCAAATAAAGTGAAAACGAAAAGATAAAAGTGAAAAAAAACAAAATAGTGAGTGGGCGAGCACGTTTTGACACCCCCATCTTTGACGATTTTTAATGTTTTTTTGGCTTAGCAGAATGGCTTCAAAATTTATAGGCATGTAGGTTACATCATAGAGAACTCACAAAAAAAAATTCAGAAAAAAAAAACTTATTTTTAGCCCCAAAAAAAATTTCGCGGGGGGCCGAACCTGGAGGTGTTCGGCCCCCGAACGGGACCCCGAACGCCCGAACGTTCGGGGGCCAGCCCGGGGGCACTCGAACGTTCGGTCAGGTAACCCTCTATACATATATAATATATAATATATATATGTATATATTTTTGGCCCCCCAGGGCAAGTGGTCCCGGGCCACTCTGGTAGCCTAGCCTAGTAGGCTAGTACTAAGTTCGCAGTCGTTAATAGTACTCAATACTAACCATGCCACGTAACCAGAGTGCTTACGGACGCACTACGCCAATGGATGATGCAACTTCTGCACGCACGTGAAAAGAGGATCGTTATAGCTGGATCTCGCTGCGAGAGGACACCACCCACCTCATTCAAATTTCTCACCCTTGTAACCCAGAAGGATTCACCCCACCCCTCCGTCATATTCATGGCAATGGGTCGAGGTCCTTGAAGTACTCATGCTCCAAAGCTGCACGAGCAGTGACTCTCTTGCTGGGCTCTAAACACAGCATTTTCTGTTGACAAACAAACAAACAAAAAAACGCAAAACGAGTGTCAGCCCCATAACATGATTGAGTGCACTAGGACAACAGTTACATGTTTGTCAAAGTAAGTCAAAAGGTGAGTACAGAACCGTGTCCTCCGTAACTTGGACATAACCACGGTTATTGTCAGCATAGACTACAAATCACAACACGAAGTTAAAACCACCGCCCTCTTCGACTTCCCCATAAAGCAAAGTCCTTTGGCAACACACATAGATTGACTGAAACTTCAAACCGATAGGAATACAACTGATGGCAAGGTAGCGTGGTCGGGCATCCAGCAGACCCAGGGATATTGTGGTGCAGATGCGCAGATCCATCCACATGTTCGGGCCAGACAATGACCGTCTTCACCCAAACAGGATGCCCAGTCACGATGGACACATTTGGTGCAAATTTTCAGTATAGATACGGTGTGATAAATACCTGCCATTTTGTCAAAACGGTAGAGCCAGATAACATATCACCGGAGGGTGAAAGACTAGAATTGCGAAAGTTACTTCCGAGAAAGCCAAATAAATACACAATATCCACCCAATTTAAAAGTTTAAACCACCAGTACCGTGCCCGGCTACCCTGCACGCACCGACCAATTAACCTGGTAATGCAGATAGGCTTGGTCTACCAGATGTCGGTGGTGGCCCCAGGAGGGGGCTTAAAACGTTAGCATCCCCATTTCGTCAAATTCGTCGCTCTCATCTCCTTCATCGTGGAATCTTCCACCATGTTGATGACTGGCACACCCATCAACCACTTATATGTAATCACATCCCACCTCGGACCGCCACAATTTGCACATGATGATCATGCATTGCATCATATTCAAAAGGACTCCCAGTTGAGCTTCAAGGCAGGCTTCCTTGGCACGCCTGTGACAACCTCACTGCTCAACATACAGAACGCCGCCACAAGGCAGTGGCTGGTTCCTCCAAAATGTGAGGGTTGGACGGCGGATCGACACGACACGTCAAATGACATAACAGTTTGAGAGTCAAACCTTCTATAATGCCACGTAGTGGTGAATCCAGAACGCGTTGAGCCATCCCATTCGCAAAAGAAGGGTAGAAAAACAAAGACAAAGCAGGAAGGGAAGACGGGGAGATTGTGTTTTTGTGAGTGTGTGTGTGTGTGTGTGTCAGATGGAGAACCTTCAGAAAATAATTCTGGAAAGATAGTAGACAAGGAAGACACAGCAAGGTGAAGAGGAAAACTTGAAAAGGCAAAAACTGAAACTTTCTTGTTTTCACTTTGGGCCTTTTTTTCACTTTTTTAAAAATTGCCCCTTCAATTCTGGGGGGCTCAGTCCGGTTACTCGTCACCGGCAAGCATGCCCTTTTTACATCTGAAAAGGGGAAGGGGGAAGAACAGACAAGACGCAGGACCAGCCTGTCCCTTGTGGACCTAACCGCCTGGCAAGGGGCAACTGTTTCGGAGCAACCCTCCCCCCTATCCTTAGCTTTTCAAGGGGGTTGTCCAACTGGCCGGGAAGCTGACTGGCAGCACCCAGTCACGCAGTAGGGCAGCCCTCAGATAGGCAGGGGGGGTTTGGGGGGGGGGGGGGGGGGCTGTTACCTGTTTCTAATATCCCTCATCGGTCATAGACCCTATATATTACCTATGTCTGAAGCCCGTATCTGGTTCGAGCCTATTCCCCTGTAGTTACATGTCCACCTCTACCTACCGTCTTCACCCGAATACAACGCCCGGTCATTATCGCTGCACCTAGACTGAAACTTGCACCAAATACAGCCATAATGACCGGGCGTTCTATTCGGTTGAAGACGGTAGCTGTTCTCATTCAGATCGTGTTCCGCTTGCCCCTTAGGTCTACACAAACCATAATAGGCCCTCCTACCATCGCACATATACATCCAGATTCCAGATCATGTTCTGCTTACCCCTGACATTTATTCCGTTCTTTTTTCTGGATTTTGTTTCAGCTTTCAGGTGCGTAAGCAGCAATACCGGTGTCGGCCACATGCACTTTTAACATCTTCCCTGTCTGACAGGTATTGTGTAATCAAAATCTGGGTATCACGTCCTATGGAGGAAGACCCCTGTGGTGCAATGTTCGTGATTGAAACGTATGGAAAATATGAGCCCGATCATAAAAGAGGCCAGGTTCGCACTAGCATATGACAAACATAGCACCAGTGGGACCTGGCCCTTTTTAAGTAGTATTGCTTGACCTACCTCGTTCATAAATGTGACAAGTAACAACCGGATTTCTGACAACTTCTCTGAATCTGGACGTAGAAACAGGCATAGGGCCTCGTGTCACAACTCGGCAAAGGCCAACATGCGGAATGTACCGGAACCTGCAGGTGATACGTGAACAAAGTTGGCTTTTGACGAGTGGTACAGCAAGGCACATATACACGCAAGGAAGTCCTTGTGAGGGATGTGTCAGGAGAGCATGAAAAGGACAGGCGGGCTGCCTCAAGTGTTGGCCAGCTTGCCCCACCCATGTGGCTGAATGGTACACAGACACTGATGACAAAACAGGTCATAAGTTCACATCCTGACCGATCGGACAGATACATCGTAAAGTTGGGGCCGTTGCCTTAAGAACAGGGTCGCATACCTGCCGTCCGCCCAGCCTACCGGTAAGGCTGACCGGTCAGTGGTCTGTCAACAGTCATTAAACAGCCATCCACTCTTCTTTTTTTTTAAATCTGACTATGGGGCTGTACAGCCGAAACCAGCTGAGAAACTTTTTGGGATTGGGGGAGGTTAGGGGGGGTTACGGAGGGGGTATGGGGGGGTTCTGGGGGTTATAGGGGTGGTGTAGGGCTTAGCAGGGGTATGAGGGTGTTGGGGGGCGGTTTAAGGGTGTTTGGGGGTGTACAGGAGGGGTATAGGGGGTGTTAAGGGGGTGTTGGGGGTGTTCGTGGGGTTATTGGGGGTTCGACTCCACCCCCCTCCCCCTTCTTGCCAAAATAATAATAATAATAATAATAATAATAATAATAATAATAATAATAATAGTAATAATAATAATAATCAGGGTTACCAGCCCGTACGTACGGAGGCCCCCGGGCGGGCCTCCGTACGTTCGGGCGTTCGGGGTCCCGTACGGGGCCCGAACCCGACGGCGTTCGGCCAACTAAGAATTAAAAATCGCCAAAGATGGCGGTGTCAAAACGTGCTCGCCGACGTTTTTTTTTACTTTTTACTTTTTGTTTTCACTTTAGTTCGGGGTCTAAACAATTTTATTATTTTGTGAAACTTTTTTAGTGGGTTTTGTATTATGTGAAGTACACATCCGTAAATTTTCAGGGCATTTAGCTGTGCCAAAAAAAAAATGAAAAATCCCCAAAGATGGCGGTGTTGAAAACATGCTCGTGCACTCACTAAATTTAATTCTCTTTTTATTTTTATTTATCTTTATTTATTTTTATTATTAGTATTTGTTTTTGGTATTTTATTTTTATTTCAAATTTGGTAAGGAATTCGGACGTAATGCTCAGGCAAATCTTCTTTAATTTATTTTTCTCCATAACATATTTATTTTTCAGATTTTTCTGATGACTTCTTTTTTTTTTTTTTTTT